GTGAAATATAAGGTAGATGGACCTGTTGAGAGACATAAAGCTAGGTTTGTTGCCAAAGGCTTTACTCAAACTGAAGGAATTGACTATTTGGAGACCTTCAGTTCAGTTGTGAAGATGACTATTGTGAGAGTTTTGTTAGCACTTGCATCTGCTAATCGTTGGCATTTACATCAATTAGATGTAAATAGAGCTTTTCTTCATGGGGACCTAAATGAAAAAGTATACATGCAAGTCCCTCCTGCATTACATACCTTAGGGTCTAAGTTGGTTTGCAAATTACAAAAGTCTATCTATGGCTTGAAGCAGGCAATAGAATGCCAAACTGATCTCATTTCTTATGCAACATGGAAATAATCAACCATAGGCTAATTACTCATTATTCAAACCAAGAAAATTGATGATAGTTTTACATCAATTCTCATTTGTGTAGATGACCTGATCCTGGCAAGAAATAATTTCACTGAAATCAACAATTTGAAGCACTCGTTGGATGCTGAATTTAGCATTAAGGATATAAGACAATTGAAGTACTTCTTGAGCCTTGAGATTGTGAGATCACACAAAGGAATTGCATTATTTCAGAGAAAATATGCACTTGACTTGTTGCAAGACACTAGTTTACTTGCTGTCAAACCTTGTTCTACTCTAATTGATTATAATGTACAACTTCACAAAGAGTCAGACACACCTATGACTGATCCTTCTTCATACAGAAAGCTTATTGGTAGATTACTTTACTTGACACACACTAGGCCTGATATATGCTTTGCAGTAAATCATCTAAGCCAATTCCTGTTATGTACTACTGATTCACATCATCAAGCTGTTGTTAGAATCTTAAAATATATTAAAAGTGCTCCTAGAGAAGGTCTTTTCTTCTTATTCTCCAGCGACATTAAACTCAAAGGTTTTTGTGACTCTGATAGGGGCATTTGTATCGACTCCCGCAGATCCACTTCTGGTTATTGCTTCTTCCTAGGATCATCACTAGTGTCATGGAAGAGTAAAAAGCAGTCTATTGTATCTAGATCCTCTTCTGAGGCAGAATATAGAGCCATGACTCAAGCTAGCTGTGAAGCTTAATGGCTCAAATTACTTTTGACAGATTTTTCTATTGATCACTCCAATAGCATTATCCTGTACTGTGACAACAAATCAGCCATGCACATTGCCAATAACCTTATCTTCCATGAGCGAACTAAGCATATCAAAATTGACTGTCATGTTGTTTGGGAAGGAGTTCAATCTAGCCTCATACATCTGCTACCTATTCCTTGTACCTCCCAAACAACTGACATTCTGACCAAGGGTTTATCTCCCAAAGTGTTTTAGAATCATCATTCCAAGCTTGGCATGCTTGATATATGTAACGCCCCTAGAAATGTAATATTGTTTGAGTATATAAATATGTATATATATATATATATATATATTTATCATTCTATGGTGTATTAATTGACTTGATGATGATATGAGCGTACCTTAGTTTTATGTGAATGTGTGTGTGAAATACAGATATATGTAAATGTATGTGTATATATATATATATGTGTGTGTGTGTGTGTGTGTGTGTGTGTGATTAGAATTTGGTTTGAAAGAAATAGGTTAAGTTCTGATGCAGGGCATTTTCGCTGTAGCGAGATAATTCTCGCTGTACCGACAGAGCAACAGTTTAGGGTGCATTTCTGGGTGCAGTCTCGCTGTAGCGAGATTCTGCAGAAATCAGAGTGCAGTTTTGTTTGGTTTTTTCGCTGTAGTGAGAGGGCATGTCACTGCAGCGAGGTTCCAGTGTCGCGACCAGAGGGGTATTTGAAGGGTTAGGGTTCGAGGAGAGGGTTATTTTTCATGATTTCCCTCTCTCTTCTTCACGATTCTCTCTACCCAAACCCATTCCTACTGATTAAAAGCCCTCCAAGGACGTTTGGAAGCTTGATTTAAGGTTGGAAATACATTTAGAGTCTTTGGGGGTAAGTTCTATGGTTAGGGTTTCAGTTTTCGTCCCTTTCTTTTATTTTTTGAGGTTTTCCCTAAGTTTCCTTGGGATTTTTGTGTGCTTTAGGGACGAAACCCGTGTGGGGAGGCGATTCCATCAACGTTTCGTGTCGGGTCTTCATTTTTGAGGTAAGGGGAGTACTTTACTCTAGTTATCTTTGTTAGGAATGAGTTTGTTTGAATGAATATAGTAATGTGATAGAAATAGAAGATGAGGTTATGTGTATTAATGAATTGTACGAATTGGGTTGAGTTCGGAGGTGTCTGACCTCCGACATATTGTGTGAAATTGAGTGATGTGCTTATGTTGGTTGCCATTGGATGCAAGGAAATGATGTGTATATGATAGAAATGTGATTGTGAATAAGTTGAGCATGATGTATGACGATTCTGATGAAATGGTTGGTTGTAATATGAATGAAATTGTGTCGACATGCCCTTGATTGCAATTTGAATAATGTGAATGGTTGAAAATGAGTGTGGATGACATGTTGAATGAATGATGATGTGTTTGGGTGTTGGAACTATGAATGGTTTAGAGATACACTTGGGGTGTGGAGGATGTGGGCGGTAGTAATACCTTAGGGAAGAGAGGGTGGTGGTGACACCAACAGTGAACGTGGGTGTACCACAAGCCACACACTTTCCTCTTGACTCGGCCTTTGACTAACACCTTTGCCTAGGGGGCTCAATACCGCACATGTTGTATCCGTGGAGCAGGAGCTATTCGGGTGACCATCCATAGCATAACTGAGTAAGTCCCTGAGGTTTAGGGCATCAGGAATCTGTGATCACAGTGCCACAGTGAGCTTGGCTACGTGCAGTGAGCACACGTGTGTTTGTGTAAATACATATATTTGTAATTGATTGTCCGTGCAGTGAGCGCACCTGCCTGTGATTGTTGTTGTGTGCCTTGAGTGAGATAGTTCAGGTGAGTCTTATGCTTGTTTGTGAACTTATGCTAGAGTAGAGGACTCACCCTTACACTTATTTTTCAGGTAACCAAGACTATCAGCACCGGGGCCCCTGAAGGAAGGATGGATGACACTGCTATAGGACTTCGAAGTTTATTTTGAAAATTTAATGTATATTTGAGTCCTGTAGCAAGTTATGAAATGAACTTGTAATCATTTCCTTTTAAGAACCACTTTATGAAATTGAGTTTTGAACTACTGTTTGAATGAAAACCTTTATTTTGTTAACATTTTATGAAATTTATTTTATTTAGAAATTATAATTATAAGGTGTTACAATATACACATGCTAGCTTGCGGGGGGATGTTAACATACATGCTGGATAGCCAACCCAACAACAAAGTCTCATTGGCTAACTCTATTTAATATACTTGTATAAATAGGCTTTTCTATTCTTTGGTAATAAATTAATCTTTTGAGATTTCAGTTTCTCAAGCAATATTTCTTCTCATATCAATAAACAAAAATTCTCTCTTTCTGCAAAGTTGGTTGTTCTTTCTTTCTTCATACCATAGAGCATAATACTTTTTACAAATATGATGAAAGAGATTAGTGTAAATGATTACAGAGATACACTAGGGTATAGAAGATGAAGCCAATTTTGAAAATTTGGGAGAAATGTAGGGTGGTGAATGACATTCACGTGTGTATACAATCCATTGAGAGTGAGTGCATCACATAGCTTCACACTCATTTCCTAACTAACATTCCTAACTATACTTTGGTAAAAGACCTGATACTATATATATTGTATTCATGTACATGGGCTAATTAGTGACCATTCACCTATATGTGTAAGACCTCATAAAATATAAGGGGCAACGTTTGACTATGATCATAGTGCATGAGGAAATGCATATATGAGTTACGCTATTATTGATTGTGTGATTATGATATATGTGTTGCAATGCATCGATGGGTATAATTATGATACATGTGTTGTAATATATTGATTGGTGTGATTATAATACATGTATTATAACATACTGATTGGTGTAAACATATATTAAATAGTATGATTTTAGTGTATGTGTTGTGAATTCATTGGATTATTATTTTCATTTAATCTTAGAGGTCAGGAAAAGACTCATCCTTACTTGTAGCTTTTAGAAATAGAGTATGACTATTCTAAGAAAACTAGTTAGATTGATTCAAACTAGGATCATATCCTTTGGATTTTGGTTTTAGAAGGACCTGCTCATTAGGATTTAATGTATTTTGATTTTTCTTTTTTTATTATTATTTAATTTAAGTTTTAATTTATTTTGACCATAATTTGTAAATATTGTATTCATGTATTTTAGTGGTACAAATGAAGTACTTGTTTGATGTTGTTTATATTTCATTTAGTAAGTTATATTATGATGAGAAATGTTTAATTAAGTTTTAAATTTTGTCATTTTTAATAATTATCAATTTTTTAAGGATTGACTAGTGAAAAATTAAAATTTTAAAATTTTGTAATTTTTTTTATTGCAATTGAGAAAAGGTGAAATAATAATTTAATCAATATTTTAAAACTGTTTAAGTTATCACAAAATGGTTTATAAAAATAGGAGTGTCGTATATTCCACTTTATTGTTGAGTCACATAATATTTGTGTCTTTTAGTGTATGATATCACTACTCTTTCAAGTATGATGTTTTGCATTGTTACGATGTTTATAGTTTGTGTTAACTTATTTTGACATCTTGTGACACATATTCTATAGTAATCTAGAATAATATGATGTTTTTCATTTGTATTGTCTAAGTGAGAGAATGTTAGAATATTTTATGTGTAGACTAACATAAATCATTTTTGTTATAACTTTAATTTAAATTTCAAGTTAAGTGAATGCCAAAATATTGAATCATGTTGTTTTTGCCATGTTATAAATAATTATTGTTATTGAACTTTTGTAATAACTTTACCATTATTAGTGAACATGATTTTATGATTATTGTTATTGGACTAAACCTTAGTAGGTAGACTTGATTCATCCTGCTAATAACTTTACCATTATTAGTTTTCTTTCATTGATCAAGAAGCACTTAGTCATAGACTTATTAAGTTCATGATTTCTTCTCCACCATCCCAAAACCCTCAATAACTTTAAATAACACCTTAATTTAATTTCCATATAAATAAATTTTGCAAAAATGAGAATAATAAAAATTTTCATTCAAATAGTACTCAATGCATGTGTTCAATAAAGTATTTTGAAAAAGGATAGATTACAAGTTTGAATCAAATTATTGCTACAGGACTAATTTAAATACATCATTTTTAAGAATAAACTTTCTAAGTTCTATAGTAGTTTCATCCATCCCTTTATTCATCCAAAAATAAACTTTACACTATCACACACCCACAAGCATAGAGACTCACCTTACATGTTTCACACATTTACGAACATAATTCAAATCATGCATCAACAAACATGAAATAATATTTCTCAATATTCCATTCCAATTCACAAATAGGTGCGCTCACTGCACCATCAAACAATTCACACACGTGCACTCACTGCATGTAACCACGCTCACCGTGACACTATGATCACAATTTCCTGATACCTTCAACCCCAGGGACTCACTCAATTTCATCCTAAACACATGAAAAATCTCCATGAGAATTCAAGAAAATGGAGAAAATGATGAAGGAACAAAACCCTAGCCCATGAAATTTACCTCCAAATGCTCCAACACGATTCTAACCTTCAATCTTGTTCATAAACAGCTTTGGAGGCAGTTTAATCGATGAAAATGAGTTGGGGATCGAGAGAATCGAGGGAGGGATGAAGAGAAAGAGTGTAAAATGAGTTTTTTGAATCCTAAACCCTTCAAATACCCTATGAGTCGCGACACTCTCGCTACAGCGAGACTGTACCTAGAAATGCACCCTCCTCTGTTGCCCTCTCGCTACAGCGAGAAGACTCTCACTGTCTTCTCACTGCAACGAGAACACAACAGATGCACGACCTTCGCCCAGGGTCTTCTCGCTACAGCGATAATGCTCCTGCCGCACACACTTAGCCTAGTTTCTCCATCAATCTAAACCAACCACAAGTCAAGCATTATCAATACAAAATCAACATTCACACTCATGCTTATATACACATATTCATATACATACACATCATCACACACATATACACTTATATTTACATCATCATATACATCAAATACACATTCAAATTGCAACTCACATATTCATATTAATAATTAAAACAGTTTACAAAATTTGAAATGTTACACCCTATAAGACTGCACTCACTCCTCCCCACACTTTCATCCCATCTCTCTCCACAGTCAACATGCTTAAAATGAAGATCACCAAGTCCAAACCTGACCCTTATCCCATACCCAAAACCATCATTGAAGAAGACAATACCGAGTAAGAGAAAGTGTTGCAAAAAGAAGATTTTCTTAGGAAAAGAAAATTGGTTTGGTTTGGGGACATATGATAACTGAGGGATTAAATTAAAAATTTTAAGAAATTTAAGAATACAAACTTAACAAGATATTTATAAGGATAAATAACAAAAATAAAGATAAATGTAGAGATTACTTTCATATTTAAGCCTTCTATATAATACATGATAAATAAAAATTATAAAAATATGCTAAATATTTTAAAATAATCTAAATAAAAACTAAAATTAAGAAAATTTTGAGATTAAAATTAAATACACCTAAAACAGAATAATAGAAATAAAAATATTTTTCATAAAAAGTTTAAGAAATAAAAATAAAAATACTCTTTTAACTAAAGATTAAAATAATTCAATAACAGTTATATTTATCTTAATAAAATATAAACTAAATATTCCTAAACTAATTATATATATATATATATATATATATATATATATATATATATATATATATATATATATATAAAACTAGGACTTCTAGACTGGTGGAGAAATTTTTTTAGTGGTAAAAGTGTTGTTTAAATCTGTATACATGTTTCTTCATCGTAACAGTAAAAAGGAAATACTTGGACCATGAATTAATTTACTCTTATTAAAAATAGTAAAAATTATAATGTATGGAAACAAATTAGATAGTTTAACTGCATATGCATATTGGCACAAAATCGTAAATTAAAACATTGTAAATATAGTTTACTTTTCCTATACTATTAGTGTAAGATTTGTTTATTTTAACTATTTTTATATTGTTGAATATGTTGCAAAATTTAGGATTTTCATCTAGCTATATAATATGCAGTTAAATGATTTTTTTTATGAGAGAATATTCTTAATATTTAACTTAATATTTCACATAAAAAATAATGTGAGATGAATTTTAACATATATATATATATATATTCCAGGTGGCTAATAATTGCTCCATAGAATATTAACCCACTTTCACGTGATACATGTTACATCTGTTTTAGATAGCCAGACTATACGCAATCAATTTAATATCAATCTAGCATATAAACTTCGTAGGAAGAACAAAAACACGGTCAGTGAATAATTATTTTGATTATTTAAATTTCCAAAAAACAAGAACAAGATACGACATGCGTTTTCTAAATATTTGAATTATCTTCTTCCTCTGTTATTTATGGGTGGTTTTAACTTCTTACTTTATAGAGTTTCAATGGGTGAAATTAAGGAATCTTACCAATATGTGAAGTTAGTTAAATCTCCAACTTGAAAATATGTATGGCAACTTTATATCTTGATGTTCTTTTTCTTCTTTTAATTTAATATCTTTATCTTATTAGGAAAGGTGATTAAATTTATTCCTTTTTATTTTCAATCAAAATTCTTTCTTAAAATCTTAGTTTAAAATCTTTCATCTCAGTCTTAGTCAAAAGCATTTTCATCAGACATGTTTTTTAATATGTTTCTGTAACATATTTTACAAAGAAAGAAACTTAATTCAATTTTTTCTTGTATTCTTCAATTTTATATTTTTCATATGTACTATTGTCGTGAGTATGATGTAAAATACTTGTAATTAATTTTTATTCTGAAGTCGTATAGTTTACTGATGATAATGTTAATAGCTAGATAATAATCCTTTCAAAATATTTATAAAATTGTTGTTAGAATATCTTATTGAAACTTGGATTAGAAAGTTTTAGGCAAAAAAATAACATTCATTAAAATTAAAAAATTTAAGAAAAAATATAAAATTTTAGTTATTAAATAATATTTTTGTAAAAAAATTAAATACTTGTTTATTAGTGTCCGCGTACCACTCAACAATGTCAAAGTCTAACACGGGAGTCATGCTCTAGTGGGAAGGTATTATCCATTCAATAAATTGTTAACTTTGTTTATCACTTTAGCTATTCTTTCATATCTACCAAAAAATTAGCTTTCTTTTTTCGTGTATTCTTCTGCAATGTCTGCCACTTGCTAGTGGTAATTAACGAGGCAAATGGTCGTCCTCCTATGTGGGGATCCTTTAAGTTGGAGAAAACGGTAGTTACTGGTTGAATATTTTATATTTGAACGAGAATTTAGCCGTCACTTCATAACCTCTCTCCATCTCTGAATTACAAATAACACTACTCTATCTATAGTTATCCATTCAACGTAACTATTCTCTTTTACATAGCTTTTCATATGCACCATGTCACATTATAATTAGTCAAAATAATGTCTTTCTTGTGTGTGGTAATAATTTTAATTTTTTCACTTTTTTATTAATTTTATTTTAAATTATTGTAATTTTATTAAATCTTGAGTATTTGTGATGATAGACTTAATTTAACCATATTAGTTAGAAGAACTTAAAATAATAATTTATTAAAAAATAAAAATTCTACAAAAATCCAGGAACAAAAATATATTTAAATTTATATTTATTTTAAAACAAAATGCATTGTTGGAATATTAAAATTTTTTTATAACCAACGCATAAAAGTTAAGTCCATATTGTCTATAAAATATTTTTTGACGCATCTTTTTAACTTATTGTCAATACCCAATTTTATCTTAATTCCTTTTAAAATTAAATTTTAAAATAAAAAATTAAAATATAATGATTCAATTTTATAGGAAGTTAAAAAAATAGATAAAAAGTTAATTTTAAATTTAAATTTTAAATTTTAAATTAAAATTAGAAATGGTTTAAGTAGTTTGTACATTTTTAGAAGAATGGATGAGAAAGAAAAAAATTGATTACTGGTTATAAAAAATAAAGAAGCTTTTATTAAAATAAATAAATAAAATCCTAATTTTCATTTTACCATGGAAGTGTTTTTTTTTATCTTATAAATCTAACCTTTTAATCCTAAACATTAAACTTTTTCTCAACTTTAAAATTAAACCTTTTTAGGTCTCAAAAATTAAATTCTTTCCTAACCCTAAAATTATTTCTTTTTGTTTACCTTCATCAAGACATACACATGTTTTTTTGTTCACTATACAAAAAGACTGGATTTTCTAAAAAAAAAAAATTAATATTAAAAATATTTTAAATCCACACAACGGTAAAGTGATTTTAATAGAGTGGAGGATCCACCTTCAACATTGGTTGGATCATAAGGGTTTATTGAGTAGCTATGTACTAACTTAAACCCTGTGCAGGAGTGGATTTACTAAAAATAATGATAAAGAAAAATCAATTTTTTTCAAAAAAAAGAAAGAAATTTTTTTAAACTTATCCAAAACTTAATTTAAAAAAAAAAAAAACTATATGGCAGCTTTGATTCTTCCGTTATATACGGAGGATACGTAGGAGCGAAAACCTGACTCGTCAAGTCCAAAATCTTTTAATTTTTTTCAGGTCTAAATTATTTTAAAGTAATTTCAAATAATTTTTTTTAAAAATGAAATTGTTATTTTTATTTAAAATAAATAAATAAAATATCAAGATAATATTTTAAAAATACATTTCTTTAATACAAAATACAAAAAAAAGAATAATATTTTTATAAATAACTCATTCCTTTAATTCAAATATTCTTTTTCTTATGTTTCCTTATTTTAAAAAATAAAATTGTAAAAATTTGAAATAAATCTAAAAAGTAATAATAATAATAAATTTAAAAATAGTAAAAAATATTAATTATTTTCTTGTAAAGTGAAATAAATATTTTTAAAGTTAAAATAATTTTTACATAATTAATTAGAAGGTAACCGTTTTAATCAATAGATGACGTAGGGTGCTAATACCTTCCTTACACATAAACGACTCTTGAGCCCAAATCTAGTATCAACGATTTTTGTTTTTAAGTTTTTCTAATGTTTTTTGTAACATCCTTTTTTCACTTTTCGGTAAATTATATTTTGATTAATGTTAAGTGGCATTAGAGTGCATTTAGAAGGGAGTATAAAGGATTTTGGTGCAGTAGATCTTGCTCAGGCGAGATTAAGCATGTGATAAATACAGATTTTACTAGTA